ATTGACTCTAGTGCAAGTGGGAGACTGTTGGAGATATGCCCTAAAGGCAATCATGTATGATGATATTTCCTATGTGTTTATGAATAAAGATAGTTCTTGGACATTATCAATGATGTGTATCAGCAAGTACGTATCTTGTTTGTGGGACTATGCATTGTATAATGACTGTCCTAAAAGGTCCCTAGTCGAAAGGGTTGTGTGGACGCGCAACTAACTAAACTAGCATATGACACGGTCGATGGCTTAGTCTCACTAGCCATGGAGCATTGGATGCTACCCGAATAATATGGACTCGGAAGGATCTGGTCGGATTCGACGTAGTCGAATCCGAGTCGAGATAAGGTCCGAGTCGGACAGACCCAACTATGAGACACAACGATATGTCATTTGTGAGTCTCTAGTACAACATACGTTCTATGTCCTAAGACCTGAGCTGACGCATGTACTCGGGATGGTGACAGACTTGCTTTGGGCCGACCAAACGCTACTCCGTGACTGGTTAGTTACAAAGGTAGGTTTCGGGTCTAGTGGTAACAATCTGTGATCCATCTCCCGTAGCATGTTCTTAGTTGTTCTGCGCGTAGAAAATTTTAATTTGCAGTCGATGCACCCTACCGTAGAACCCAACACCCAACGTCATCTATATTGCATGCAAACATTGGGTCTCACCCAAGTCAAATATGGAGGTCCATCATGGAAGGCATGGAAGTCCTAAAACAAGCACTCATTAAGCGCATAAGCAACGGAGCTTCCACAGATGTATGGATGTAGAATTGGATCCTAGAGACGAGATGATGCGCCCCCATGGCAGCAAGGTGTGGTAACCCCAGAGATGAGCGCCGGACTTCATTAACTCCACGATGGCCACGTGGGATATACAGAGAGTCGAAGAAACTTTTCTGCCCATTGATGTTCCAGCTATCATGGGGATCCCCATATGTACAAGGAATATCAACTATTATTGGGCATGGAATTTTTGAGAGAAACGACTCTTTCTCGGTCTGCTCGGCCTATGGAATGTTGGTGACGACGCGGCAGCGGAGAGAAGCATGGCTAGATGGCACTTCGGGTTCTTTCAATTCGCGTGGGGACGAGAAATCATGGAAGCTATTATGGAACACTCAGGTTCCAGCCAAGATAAGAATGTTCCTATGGCGTTGGACGTAAGGGCACAATTTTCGTCTGGGCTATAAAACTTTTGCATTTTCAAATGATGAAGAATATATTATGATATCAGTTTTTTGTCCTGTAGTGCATACATGCATGTGCATGTGAGGAGAAAGTTGGAGGAACCATTTTTATGCCTTGGTAATTTTAGGCGTAAACAACTTGATAAGTTATATACCACAATCGTGATAATTTACGTAGTCCAGACGTGATAACTTTTGACCCGAAAAAAGGTCATTGAAACATATAAACATGGATCTAGTTTCGAAGGTCTTGTCACGATGAAATTTTTATATAAAAAAAGTTTTTCAATATGACCAATGGGTTTGACCTACAAAATATTTCAAAGTTTCAAAAAAATATTTTGCTGAATCATCTATTTTTTGTGTGTGTTGCGTACATTATGAGTCCCGGTATTCGCTTGTGGGCTAGGAAAGAGACACAATGGCATGCGCTCACTTGGTCAGGCGTGTGATTAGTTGAAAAAATAATCATTCTACATTTCGGATTAAATTCCAAATAGTCGGAAGGTGTAACGGTCCAAAATTATTACCTAAATTTATCGTGCATTAAAATAAATGACAACATGCTGTTAGAAAAAACTTCATGCAACTTTTAAAAAATATTGATAATGTTCATGACACTTAAACAATGTTTATACAATGTAAACAAAAGGTTTGAGTAATTAAAAAAAGTTTCGTACCATTTGAAAAAAATTATGTGACATTTTTATGAAAATGTTCACACGTTTCAAAAATTACGTTTGTGACATTTTTAGAAAATGTTTATACAATGTTTCACATAGTTGAAAAAATGCTTCCTATCAGTTAAAAAATGGTCAACGTGTATTTGAAAAACTGTTCAAGGCGTATTCAGAAAAAAATATCAAAAACATATATTTAAAAATATTAATCATGTATTTGAAAATGTTAAAAGTGTAAGATAATGTTCTTAATGTATACACAAACATATAATGTGTATGAAAAAAAAGAAATAAAATTTTATATTTTAAAAACTGTTAATCATGTATTTGGAAAACTTTAAACATGTAAAAAAATGTTCCTGGTGTATAAAAAATATACAGTGTGTATAAAAAAAATGTACAATATTCCTAATGTACACAATGTTCCTTATGCAGACCCTTGGCCTTCTGGCGCTTGGACACTGTGCTCTCCTCGGCAGCCTCGTCGAGGTCCTTCATTAGGTTCTTATAGTAGCTAGGCGATGCTTTATTGTTCATCACTTGCTTCAACTTGGACTTAGCACCTCCTCGGCCTGGAAGAGCTTATTCCAGCGGTCTCCCAGGTAGGCTTGCTCCTCCCGAAGCCTGTGTTTCTCGTTTGCTATCTTGTTTGCCGTACGGACCAACCTTAGCCTCAGTGCGTCTTGGTTGGGGCTGTTAAGTGACTCATTGAGGTTGAGGTTGTTGTTTAGCTCATCGGCATTTTCGTCGAAATTAGCCTTATTGCCGTTGTTATTATTATTGTTCATGTTGTCGTCACCGTTGCCACCTCCGACATCGTTTTTTTTTTTTGCCTCCACCGTTGTTGCATGTGGTGTCTACCATGTAGATGTCGTATGTGGAAGTTGTTGTCCACTTGCCCGTAAGCATGGCGGCAGTCGGTAGGCTGGCGGAGGATCCATTAACTTCCTCATCCGTGTATTCAACCTCACTCTAGCCGTTTGCGAGGACCTCGATTAACTTTTCAATGTTAGCAACAAGGTGGGTCGCGGATGGGTCGAATAATCCGACCTTTCCGGGTGACTCCCAGATCTGACATAGGAGTGACCCCTAATGCGGGACACCACCAACTAGTCGGTGACCTATGGCGGTACTATACTGCGTATGGATGTCTTTGGGCATGGGCCCATAGTTGGGCTTCTCCATGGGCCTACATGGTGGGGATTACCTCGTTAACGTGTCATGTGGACCCACACACCATGCACCACGTTTGGTATTTTCAGAAAAAAATCTCCGCCGCACACCTGTCTCCTACCTTATCTTCTCCTTTTCACCTCGTCGCTGATGTATGCGATGCTTGTTGCCGCCATCGCACTTCTCATGGTGCCGCCCCATAGGTGAACCAGACAAGGCTGTTGGTAGTGCCTTAGGTGGATCTTGTCACTGCAACGCTGGGCTACGCGTGCTGCAAGCATGGTTTTAAATAGCGGGCTGGTAGCGGATTGGGGTCCACGCAGCGGAATGCGGATAGCGGCAATATTGCGGGCGCTATGTTCGTGTAGCGGATTTCTAAATGCACTAGATTATTGTGTATATTTCTATATCATTAAAAAAAGTAATGACAATTAATCTGAAGAGTAGCGGACGCTATTGCGCTAGCGCTATTGTGGATGCAATAGTGGATGCTATCTCCACTATTTGAAACTATGCCTGCAAGGTGACATCTTCCCCCCGGCCATGGCTTACCCCCTCCGCAATGCAAGGTCGACCGCGTGCGTACCCACCCTGCTCCAAGCCGCGGTGACGCAATGCGACGTTCGGAACTTGGGTCCATGGATCCGCGTCGGCAGGAGCCCGATGACGGGGCGGTGGATGCTGGGACAATTAGGTGCCCGGCGAAAAGGACCGTCTAGGGGGTGCATCATGGCGGGCTTCGATGCTCGCAACAACGTCCGTCGGGGTTGGCAACATCGTTGGTGTTGTGCTCGTTGGGATGAAACATCCTTCGCTCAATGTCGCGTACGCTACACTCGTCAGTGTCCTGTTGCAACGAGGTTTGCAGCATGATCGTATTGGGACGAGGTTCGCAACATGGTCGCACTGCGACGAGGTTTGCAACGTGAGTGGTGTTGCAATGAGGTATAGACAGAGGACAGGGACGATCGTACAGCGGGCATCACATCCATCGAACGACTCACGAGCTGGCCAATCTTTTCTCATGGTCAGCCGACCGATGCGTAGCGCCGTCCAACAAATGATTCGCCTATCACTGAGACGCGAACAGTAAACTCGAAACGACGTGTCGAGCAGTGGAGCCGTACGGTTGTTAGCGGTAGAAGAAGGGTGTCAAAGGCTTGTACGCATGAACTATCGCGGGTGCAGACAAAGTTGCAGATCCCAGCCATGACGCAAACTAATTGAACCGAAACGAAATTACCTTCCACCTCAACGTGTCATCCGTCCATCCATCCACCGTTCCACTTAACCAAGTGACTCTGAATCGGCCAGGTCGAATCGATCCCTCGCGAGAAAGTTCCCGACCCAGTTTACCCAGAGCGGCACGCCAACCCCGACAGCAACCGTTACCAACGCACACACTTTCAGTTCCAGAGCAGAGAAATAGAACAGTTGCCAAACTCGCAACGACTCTAGAGCCCAGAGCCGTCCCGACACCTCCCGATCGTGACACGAACGAGACGCCCAGCGTGTAATCAGTATATTCACACACGTTTATTCCACTACGTACACAAACCCGGTCCAGTTCTTTCAACTTCCAAGTGCGAACATCGTACAAGTGAACCAGTGAAATGCTCCTACTACCCAAACATGATCTCCATCGATCTTAGTTGTATTGTACACCCAAATGATTTCTTTGCTCGTATCGTACGACGCCTGAAAATAAACAAATCTATTTACAAGCCAGGATTAACCTAGATCGCCACACCCATGGCGTTACATTTACCTGACTAACCTAAGAGTGCACTACGGCTGAGCTAGTAATTAATTATCAAGCTACTATCAATTAAAGAATAGCGCAGCGCATGCATGCAATGGTGGTCTCTTGCCGCCACCGCATATGCGCTGCGTTGCATCCGTCTACGTATGTACCTTCGCGAGCTGAACGATTCGATCGGCTAATCTGCGCCCGGCTTCACTGCGGCGGCGCCTGGCCGGCGTCGGCGGCCATTTCGATCTCGTGCGGCCAGGGGATGAGGCATTCGGGCGGGAAGCAGCAGTCGCACTGCCCGGGGCACCGCCGCGGCCGCTGGCCCGATCCCATCGCCTTCTCGTCCGCGGCCGTCGCCGTTGGCGGCACGGCCGCGTCGGCGTTCTCGTCGTCGTAGGGCGCGGCGGCGTCGCGGAGCGGGCCCCAGCACTCGACGCGGTTGAAGTTTGGGTTGTTGGAGTGGAAGTAGACCCACACCGTGGCCTCCTCCAGCTCCGGGTGCTGGCTGAACAGGCTGCCGTCGCCGTGCACGAACGCCTTCAGAACCTGCCCAAACCAAAGGCAGAGTCAGAAGATGTGTCCTATACATGCACCGTGCCAAAAGAACAAGCAGCTGTTACTTCACTGTCCAGTGACAGCAGATTTTGCAGATAATATTGGAACTTCTACAATTACCACTTTATAAATCGCTGCACATTTAATCTTTATCTGGAACTTTTGCTAAGCCATCAATCAGCTTGAGGTCACAGTAGTATGATTAACTCAGGAGATTCTGTCCAAAATTTAGCCTTCCCAAGGCAGACAAGAGTGCGAAGCAAAAGATGACCTAGTTCAAAGCCCACAGCTAGCACATGTTGAAACTGTACGAGGCCAAAATAATGGTGACACGGACATAAAGACAGTGTGTGTTGATCACGCTATGGAGAATCATGATGCTGAAGAAAATTGGCCATCGAGTTCGTGGTCCAAAATTCTCGCAAACTAAAGGAAATTCGTGGTCCAAGTCTACTACGCGGAACATCGTGTGTGGATGCGCGGGTGCCCACGTAGCGCCGGTGTGACGATCGAGGGACGTGCGATGGGACGTACCACGGGGAGCTCCTTGCGGAAGATGTAGTAGCGAAGCGGCGCGATGAGGTCGAGCAGGAAGTGGCCGCCGGAGATGTGGCAGTGGACGTGCAGCGACATGGCGCCCTGCACCTTCTTCCATTCGGCCACCACCTCGTCCCGCTGCAGGCGGTTGTACCAGCCCTGCAGCTGCGCGGCGTGGATGGTGTGCGACACCGCCAGCGTCAGCCGCGCCGTCACGTCGCTGTGGGTGAGCGTGTAGGTCCGGGGCAGCTTGCCCGGGTGCTTCTCCTCGTCCATCCCCACGAACAGCACCTTGAGCTTGGACGCCTCGAAGATGGCCGGGCCGAACAGCCGCGCCCTCTGCAACCACGCAAGGATAAAAACAGAGCATCCGATCCGATGCGTTCGTCAGTTGATCGAGTCACCGGCGGCAGGTAGAGGAGACGGCAGGTGGATGTGATTCTTCTTACCGGCACGACGTGTCGCCTCCGGCGGCCGAGCACGAGCACCTTCCCGGGGCCCGCGCCGGCGAGCCGCGTGCGCCGCTGCTGCTGCAGCTGCTTGAGGTGCGAGATGGGGAGCAGGGACATGGTGGAGGCGGTGGCCATGTCTGCTAGTCTAGCTCCACTAGTACCAGTGAGGGCCTTCCGCTCTTGCTTTCACCTCGGAGGCAGAGACAGAAGTGGGAGCTGAAGCAGGGGCCAAGAAAGGAAGCCTATGGAGCCTATGAAGCAGGATCGGCAGCCGGGGTCGCAGGCTAGTTAACCAACCGGCGGGGAGCGAGCAAGAAGCAGCACGTTGTAGCTTGCACGCCTCGCTCAACCGGAACAAGAGATCGATCGGCGACCAGGTTCAGCCGAGTGGAATCGCGTGTGCTTGCGGCACAGACAGGGGGGAGCTCAATAGATTCGTCGTTTGTTCCCCAAGTGGCACTGCTCGTCGGTCAGCTCAGGCTAGGGAGTTATAGGGGGGCGGTTAGGGTAGGGCAGGGGTCAAGGAAGGAGGAGGGTGGTGGTGGTGGTGGTGGAGTGAGGGTTCGGGAAACGTCGCGGTTGTGTGCGGGGCGAGGAAAGCTCCGTCGCGGGGCGGGGCGGACCGGACGAACGAGGGAAACGCGGGCAAGTGATCGGTGGCGTGCCGGGGACTGCCTGCGAGTGGGGAGAAACTCCGGTGATTTGGGATTGGCACGTCGCCGTGCTGGCAGGTGGCGTCTCTCCAATGGTGGGAGCGAGGCTTGACCGTGCTTTAGCTCTACACACACGTGCCATGCCCTACGTGGCTGCTGGTCCCACTTGTCATCCGCACGTACTCCCGTATTGTTGTAGCGTACGTATACCTGTGCACAGGGTCCAATTTTCTTTCGGGACAGCCTAAGACTAGCCACAGTGGAAGTAACTTCATCAGTAACATCGAGTCCAACTCAGCAAAATTGCTTATGTGGCAATGAGTTGATGAGAAGACAGATAGTTAGGCTGGTCACAATGGGCAAGAACATAAGCTAGTAACTTCACACTTTCCTAGACTATGTTACTACCTCCATAGTGGGTAGGAACATCTATGTAGTGTCATGCAATGATGTATTTATTAGGTTATAGACTCATTGTTTCTTGGAGTGTGTGATGTTCCGGTAACTTAGCTAGTTACCACAAACACCTCTCTCTTCATTAAATACGTGCCACATAAGCAAAGTTGTATTGGAGTGTGTGATGTTACTCCTAAGTTCCTCCCCACTGTGACCAGCCTTATAGTAACTTAGCTAGTTACTGTAACATCACATGTCCCAATGCAATATGAGTCTATAACCTAATAAATGAAGATTTGCATGTTACCACATTTATGTTACTACCCACTATAAATGTAGTAACATAGTTTAGGGATACGTCTATGTTACTAGTGTATGTTACTCATCATTATGGCTAGTCTAACCCCATTTTGTCCACCAAAATATGCTCAGTTGTGCTCGTAAATACACCAGTGGTGTTTGAACTTGCCATGGATGTGCATTTTAGTGCCTGAACTTGCAAAATACATTGAACTGGTTTCATAATTTGGCATGGACGTGCATATACGGTTCAAATGGTGTTTGTATACGTCCGTGAAGCTGAGGAGGCGGGCCAGCATGCCATGGGGCCCGCTGTCAGTGACAAGGGTGTGTGGCCTGGTATTTTGGAAAAAAAAAACCTGAAATTATTTTCTTACCATAAGGCCCTTAGGGAGAAACCGACAAATTATAAAATAAAAACTAGGAGTATAATTATAAGATAAAAAATAAAACTTGTGTGCTGGATAGAACAAGCAACGTACCAGTCAGAGTGCATGCGGCTAGCCACTCGACAACTTTAATGATTCATAACATTTATAAACATTTGGCCGAACAAAATAAATAAAGAGAATTTAATAATCCAGCAAAAACACCATCGGATCTGTGACCCGAACATCGGACCAAAGCTTATATGCACGGATGCCACCCCAACCATTGAGTTGTCATGTATCAAAAGTAAAAGTACTGTTTATCACTGTATAACAAACATAATTTCAAAATAATGAAAATAATTCACATGTTATTTTAAAACATATGCATAAAATTGAAAATATTTATGAATGACTAAAATGTTTATATGATTCAAGTATTATTCATGTGAGGATCCTTAAACTAATGGCGCACTGGGCTTGTATTTTTTTTAGAAAACACACAAACTTATATACTCACTCCGTCCCAAAATAAGTATGTGAAGCTTAGCACAACTTTGTACTAGAGTTAGTATAAAGTTGAGACACTTATTTTGGGACAGAGGAAGTACTATATAAACTTATTAAACAACATAGTTTTTTGTTAAAGCATGAACACGTTGATATACTACATAAATAATTTGTTAAAAATGTGAAATTTTAAAATTATATGAGAATTTATTTAAATATATGAACGTTTCTAAAATTACTTTATTTTTTTATTAAAATGCGAACATTTTTTAAACTATAAATTATATTCTTAATTTGTAATTTTATTATGTGTATTTCTGTTAAATTACTGCATAGGTATTTTATGAAATGATATGAACTTTTTAACGTAATTTGTTTTAAATATATTTATATTTTTTGTAACATGATAATAATTTAAGTAATTTTTAGAATAATGAAATGAAAAAGAACAAACCCGTTGAAAACTGAGCCACATTGTGGTTCATTTTAGCCACACGGGCTCGTTACGTTATAAACCTATATTTATCATTTTACAATTCGATGTCGCCATTTGGAGTGGTATGTGCGGCCGCTGTATAGCCCCTGGTTGCAGGTTCAAAGCAATGACACTTTATTGCTGGGATAATTTTTTTAATTTATATATTGTTCAGCTTTATGTTTATAAAGTGTATGAATCCATTCTTGACACTAAATTTGAATGGGTCGATTGGCTAGCCATGCACACCCGCGCGTGTGGTTCAAACCCCGGACCAGTTTTAATTATTAATAGATTAATAGATTTTTTTAATTTATCAGTTTCTCTCTGAGGGCCTATTGTAGGAAAAAATATTCTAAAGGGTTTTCCGAAAAAAAAACAGGCCACATGCCTTGTCTCTTACATCATGGCGTGCCTCGTGAGCGTCATGGACGTATAAAAACAAGAAAATTTTAAAATTATATGAGAATTTATTTAAATATATGCACGTCCATGCCAAGTTGTGAAACCAGTTCAATGTATTTTGCAAGTTCAGGCACTAAAGTGCACATTCGTGGCAAGTTCAAGCATCAGTGATGTAATTACCTCTATTTTAATAGTTCCTAACATGCAAAAGATATTTTATTGTGTTCGTCTAGCTGCCTCAGTTTTGGCCTTCAATCGCATGCAGTACGAGTACTGTATTTGAATCATTGGAACAACACGTACTGGCAAACTTATTGCCGAGATATTTTCAGCGCGTTGTCGTTCCACACGCGACGCCAGTGGCGCATAGAGTGAGGATGCTTCACGGTACAGTTGCGTAATGAGAAGTTAGGCGTATATACGATGGTTTGACTGCATACGTACACCACACCAAGTGGATGTCAAACGCAAGAAATGTGGTGGAACCTAATCTTGTCTGACCTAAGACGGAACGATCATCGCACTAACCCCTTGCCATATATGTCCACGAAAGTCTGATTTACGAAGTGGAAAGACATGTGCTTAATTACCTGTTGACAGCTAAATAGTCATCTGGCTGCTTGGACCCTCTGCCTTGCAAAGACGGTGAGATATACACTTCTATCCATTTCCTTTGCCGAATCAAAATTTAAAAAGGGCCTGTGTTAGACCTAAAATATTTGCATTACCTAGCTGTACCGAACAAATTGCTAAAACCACCAACTGTTAGGGTCAGTTTTGTACATAACACCCATCTATTAGTGTAATATGTTTAGCTAGCTCTAACTGATTTTTTTTGGCTTAGATGACATGATCCTTGATGTGCGGCCCCGGTTGTAAGCGCATATGTAAAAAATAAACACCTTTCACATCAACCGGTAAAATAAAAGTGCCAATGAGCTGAATTTTGTTTCCAAGCCACTACTGAGTACATGTATGATTACTAGTTTTTTTTTTTGAAATTTGAATGAGGAACTAAAACTATCCATATTCCCAAACATGCAGCCCAAATGAGTGGAAATTTTCTCACATTAGTATTGGACAGATGTATACGATTTATTGAAAAAGGTGTTTTGTATTTGTTTTTGGAAAATCTTGAATTTTATCCGACAAATTTAAATGATCCAACTAAAAATGGCAATTCTCCCAAACATGTGGTCCAAATGAGCAGATTTTTTTACATTAATACTTGCATATATGATTTGCCGGATTTTTTGTGCTCTTTTGGAAAATTGAGTTTTTTTTTTACATTTTTTTAGACGTTGAGTTTTTGAACTGGCCAACAAATGTGGCCGTGGTTCTTAGCAGGCGTGCCCCTTGAAAGCGAAAGCCGCCCATAAAAATTAAGTTAAGCGAGCCAAAAATGGTGAATTCGGGCTAGCTGCAACACATTGTTCTAGGTAAAACCGACCTTGATATTTCTTTTAACACTTGATATATAGTTGTTGGTTCCTGCAATTTGCGCGGATGTACCACATCGTCGTATTTCGACCGACGCCCCGGTTGGGTGCATATACAAACACTGATGAAACACGAGACTCGAGGAAAGATACGAATAGGTACACGGACGTACCGGTCGATGTCGGGGAACTCCGGCTTCCAACCTCCATAGGCTGGCTGGATGGATGAGGGCCGAAACGAGTTCACGTGGACGAAAATGCGACGTCCATGCATGAGCAGTGGAGTACGTACACCGCCAAGCTCTCCGTCAAATGACACGTCAAGAGGACGCCTTGCGCGTGGTGCGTTCGCACGTACTAGTACGTACTCCCATGCGCTCTTCGTCGCGGCCGACCCTGCGGCGGCGACCACGTGTTCCGTTCGCCGGCAGCTAGCTCGTGACTGGGTCGCGGCCGGCCGCGCATGTGCTGTCCCGGTGGATCCAAGTCCAACAGTTACTCGTACTAACGTCCATGGGTCCATACATATGTTCAGCGATCGGTTTGGCGTTGCAGGGACAGAGTGTCCCTCGTCCAACAGTGGCACCGG